TGTTAGAGGAATGGCATGCATCTCATCAGCTACACCCTAATGTGCTTCGGGGTGTAGGTGATGACATAAACATCGTTAGATGAAGCATTTCCAAATGTAGGAATGGGGAAAGGTGGTAATTAATTGGATCATAAAGGAGGGGGAAGGGGTAGAAGTTACTAAGAGAAAAATAACAAGTAAGATCAAATAATAAAGCTGAAAGTTGAAAATAGTACAAATCTAGCAGCAGGCTGGATACACACTATAATGATGTACATTGTATAGATGATGGACCCATTTAGAGTTAAATACACTGAACAAAAATATAAATGCAACACTTTTGTTTTTGCTCCCATTTTTCATGAGATGAACTCAAAGATCTAAAACATTTTCTATATACACAAAATAACCATTTCTCTCAAATATTGTTCACAAATCTGAAAAAATCTGTGATAGTGAGCACTTCTCCTTTGCCGAGATAATCCATCCCACCTCACAGGTGTGGCATATCAAGATGCTGATTAGACAGCATGATTATTGCACAGGTGTGCCTTAGGCTGGCCACAATAAAAGGCCACTCTGAAACGTGCAGTTTTGCTTTATTGGGGGGGTCTGGGGGGGGGTCCGAAAACCAGTCAGTATCTGGTCTGACCACCATTTGCCTCACGCAGTGCAACACATCTCCTTCGCATAGAGTTGATCAGGTTGTTGATCGTGGCCTGTGGAATGTTGGTCCACTCCTCTTCAATGGCTGTGCCAAGCTGCTGGATATTGGCAGGAACTGGAACACGCTGTCGTATACGCCGATCCAGAGCATCCCAAACATGCTCAATGGGTGACATGTCCGGTGAGTATGCTGGCCATGCAAGAACTGGGATGTTTTCAGCCTCCAGGAATTGTGTACAGATCCTTGCAACGTGGGGCCGTGCATTATCATGCTGCAACATGAGGTGATGGTCGTGGATGAATGGCACAACAATGGGCCTCAGGATCTCGTCACGGTATCTCTGTGCATTCACAATGCCATCAATAAAATGCACCTGTGTTCGTCGTCCATAACATACGCCTGCCCATACCATAACCCCACCACCACCATGGGCCACTCGATTCACAACATTGACATCAGAAAACCGCTCACCCACACAACGCCACACACGCTGTCTGCCATCTGCCCTGAACAGTGAAAACCAGGATTCATCCGTGAAGAGAACACCTCTCCAACGTGCCAGACGCCATCGAATGTGAGCATTTGCCCACTCAAGTCGGTTACAACGACGAACCGGAGTCAGGTCGAGACCCCGATGAGGACTCAGCATGCAGATGAGCTTCCCTGAGACGGTTTCTGACAGTTTGTGCAGAAATTCTTTGGTTATGCAAAGCGATTGTTGCAGCAGCTGTCCGAGTGGCTGGTCTCAGACGATTTTGGATGCTGAATGTGGAGGTCCTGGGCTGCGGTTGTGAGGCCGGTTGGATGTACTGCCAAATTCTCTGAAATGCCTTTGGAGACGGCTTATGGTAGAGAAATGAACATTCAATTCACGGGCAACAGCTCTGGTGGACATTCCTGCTGTCAGCATGCCAATTGCATGCTCCCTCAAAACTTGCGACATCTGTGGCATTGTGCTGTGTGATAAAACATTTTAGAGTGGCCTTTTATTGTGGCCAGCCTAAGGCACACCTGTGCAATAATCATGCTGTCTAATCAGCATCTTGATATGCCACACCTGTGAGGTGGGATGGATTATCTCGGCAAAGGAGAAGTGCTCATTATCACAGATTTTTTCAGATTTGTGAACAATATTTGAGAGAAATGGTTATTTTGTGTATATAGAAAATGTTTTAGATCTTTGAGTTCATCTCATGAAAAATGGGAGCAAAAACAAAAGTGTTGCATTTATATTTTTGTTCAGTGTAGATGATAAAGCAGTGTATGCTTTAGGCCCTAAGGCACTGGCTTTAATGGGGCGAGATAGAGGGACAGTTTGTATCTGTAGCTGTGGACTATGCTCCCAGTCCATTAGACTTTCGTCAGCCCCTGAGTCTATTAGTTCCCCTTGGTCAAGGGCCTGATTATTAATGAAGATGTTTACCTGGGTAACGGGACGAGGAGGAAAATATGTGGAATGATTGCTCACCAGCGCCCTCCTCTTGTCTGGTAAGCTCGGTCTTTTCCAGGGCAGGAGGCGAGTTCGTGATCCAGCTGGCCACAGTAGAAACAGCAGCCCTACCGCAGACGGTGCTGCTTCTCCTCCAGAGAAAGCCTGGTCCTACCCAGCTGCATGGGTTCCTCTGAGTCAAGCGGAGGTGCTGTCCTCCGGTGGTCTGAAGTCGTGGGCTGGAAAGACCTTCCTGGTTTGAGAGTTCTCTGAGGGAAGCCCTGGAAACTGGGATGTCTGACACCGGTGCGCCGGCGCACCCGCTCCTTCTCCCGAAGTCGTTTGTCGACCCGGATGGACACAGAGATGAGAAACTCTAGGTCCCGTGGCACCTCCAGGGGAGCCAGCTGGTCCTTTATTGGATCTGAAAGTCCGGTCATGAAAGCGCCGCGGAGAGCCGGAGTGTTCCACCCGCTGTCTGCTGCCGCAGTGAGAAACTCCATGGCATGATCAACCACCTGACAGTTGTGCTGATGCATCTGCAGAAGTCTTCTGCTGGCTTCTGTGGCAGGCGATGAGTGGTCGAATATGCGGCTCATAGTGTCTATGAAGTCGGACAATGAATAGCAGATCTCAGAGTCTCTGGACCATTCTGCGGTAGCCCAGGCTGCAGCTCTCCCCATTAAATGGGACACGATGAATGCCACCTTTGCATGGTCTGATGAAAAGGATCCTGGGTTGTGTTGGAAATGCAGGTCGCACTGCACAAGGAAGGCTCTGCAGTTATTGGAGTCTCCGGAGAATCTCTCCGGGAGAGCCAGACACAATGATGAGGAGGCAGCCTGGATCGGGTTGAGAACGTCAGCAGGATTCTCGGCTGGGGAGAAGTCAGCAGTGGGTGACGTCACCGGAGGAGCAGTCTGCAGATGAGTGATGAATTGATGCATGTGCACTGTCAACTGTTGAATCTGTGAAGAGACGGAGTCTTGGAGCTCGGCCTGACGTCCTACAAGGTCTTTTACTCCTTGGCTGATTAAGCCCAGCTGCTCCTCATGATGGTAAATCTTCACGCCTTGGGCTGACAGGGTGGCGTGAAGTGTCTTTGGGTCGGCTGAGTCCATTGTGTAGTGATGGTAGTTTGACACTGAAGCTTCGAACGGAGCTTCAACCCTGGACTTCCTATTCCATAGAAGCAGTGCTTCAAAGATTTGTAGCCTTTATTTAACCAGGTGAAAGCCCCTTGAGATCAAAAGATCTCTTTTTCAAGGGTGACCTGCAGGACATTTGAAAGCAAAGATTGCTTCAAATCACGTGACATATCACGTCAGAAGCAGCAACTGCTTCAAATCACGTGACATGTGACGTCCGAACCAGCAACTGCTTCATTTCCTGAATGAATCAACTCACTGGTTCGCCGTCCAATCAGGTGATTCAATGCACTGCCTCGTCTCAATTCTGACTGGTTGAAACTGTTTGAATTTGAGCGTCACTTAGTAAGTGACACTTTATAACCGCTCAAAAAAATGCAAAATTTGGCAATCTGTGGGATTGTCGTGGTAGTTTGCCTTGTTGCTGTTGAGTTGCTAGTATTGCGTTTGGATCATTATGGAGCCTGCCAGGAAGAGAGGTCGTTCTGAAATGTGGGATCACTTCAATCTGATTGTGCATGATAAGTTAGGTCAACTACAGTATTATAGCTATGGTTATCTCAAATCTATATTAAGTAGCATTAAAGTACAATTATGTATATGATCAATGTAGCCATTAGGCTATAGCTTTATAGACTGAAATTGCATTTTTATTTACAAATGCCTTTCTCTACAGGTCTAGTGCTTGGTGTGTTCAACTGAACTGAAGTATCATGGGAATACTTCCTCCATGATTAGGCACTTCACTGCCAAACATGGAGCTGCTGTGAACCAGGGGAACACAAATGGTGTGTATTATATTATTATTAACTAGTAAAACTAACACAATATGCTATGACTGTATTCCATGACTCACAAGTCTGCTTCCTTTGAGTGCAATTTCACATAAATCCTTATTTGCTTTTTTTGGTTTTGTTTTTATTCTTTACGTCTTTATTTCTTTGTCTTAGTGGACCCGAAGCGAGAGCTGGATGGGGCTCCATTGTGGATGACTGTGGCTTCAAGGAGCTTGTGGCCTTGCTTGATCCTAGATACACTCTTCCATCCAGACGGGTTCTAAAGGAGATGGTGGTCAAGCTCTATGAGGAGAAGAAGACGAAGGCCAAGGCTGTCAGTCAGGCTGTGAGCCTGACTGATATGTGGACCTCCATTAAGATGGACGCATATCTAGCAGTGACCTGCCATTATGTGGATGACTCTGCGAAGCTGGCCACAGTGCTTCTGGGAGTGTTGCCTTTCCCTGAAGCTCATACAGCGGTTAACATCACTGCTGCAATGAGGTCTCTCATGGAGAAATGGGGCACTGAAGGCAAAGTGACCTCAATTGTGACGGATGCAGGAGCAAATATGGTTGCCTCTGTCAGAAGTTTAAATCTAAGACATGCACTTTGCTTTGCTCATTCACTAAATTTAGTGGTGAAGAAATCTCTGGATGCAACTCCTGGCCTACAAGACCTACGCACAAGGGCTAGAAAAGTAGTCACGTTCTTTAAAACCAGCACAACAGCAAAAGAGAAGCTCAGAGAAGTGCAGGAGCAGATGAATCGCCCTGTGCTGAAGCTTATTCAGGAAGTGGACACCCGCTGGAACAGCACCTACATAATGGTACAACGCCTTTTCAAAGAGAGGCAGTCAGTGGGGGCAGCTCTTGCGACGCTGAAAACAGATGTGAGACCTCTGTCCTCTGAGGACTATGAAACAGCAGATGCATGCCTGCAATTGCTCTCCCCCTTTTTCCAGGCAACAGTGGAACTCTCCGAGGAGAAGAGAGTCTCAGAGTCCAAGATCATCCCAATGACGAAAATGTTAATGCTATACTTGTATGACTCAATTGGAAAAACAAGCCACGACACAGCAAAACTACTGGGACAGAACATGGTGTCAAATATGCAAAACAAGTTTGACACCACGGACAGCCAAACTGCATAGACCCTGTCAACACTGCTGGATCCTAGATTCAAAACTATTTGATTCTACAATCAAGTACAGGCAGTGGCATCAGTTAAACGACTGACAGCATTTTGCACACAACTGAGGAAAAATGCACAACCTGACACACCTACAGAAGAACAGCCCTCCACATCAGCTCAACCAGCACCAGCAAATGCTGACAATCCATCATCCACAGGTAATGTTATAAATAGTTAATTAAAAAAAAGGATACACATTGAAACCTTTCAGTACTGATGTCATGTTTGTCTTTCAGGTCTTAACCTTTGGGAAACTCTGGACAGAGATGCTTCTGAAGCGAGGACGGCAAGGAATGCCACAGCAGATGCTACAGTGGAGGTGCAGCGGTACATGACTGATACTGGGTGGACCATCAAAATGTGTATCCCAATCTGTTCAAACTGGCGAAACAATTGTTATGCATGCCAGCATCATCGGTTCCATCTGAGCGAGTGTTTTCAAAATGCAGGGAAATTGTAAGCAAGAAAATAAATCGGCTCAATCCAAAAACTGTTGAAAAAATAATGTTCCTGAATAAAAATATTTGTGTGTTCCCCATCCCACATGAACACCCCCTGCCAAAGTTACACAAGCACACCATAACCTATGCCATATTTTCCCAGAACCCTCTCCTCAATAACACAATACACACATTCATCCATCTTTATTTGTAAATGATACTCATGATATATACAGTTTATATATATATATATTTATATACATATTTATATATACAGATTTATTTATAGTTCTATATATACACTGAACAAAAATATAAATGCAACACTTTTGTTTTTGCTCCCATTTTTCATGAGATGAACTCAAAGATCTAAAACATTTTCTATATACACAAAATAACCATTTCTCTCAAATATTGTTCACAAATCTGAAAAAATCTGTGATAGTGAGCACTTCTCCTTTGCCGAGATAATCCATCCCACCTCACAGGTGTGGCATATCAAGATGCTGATTAGACAGCATGATTATTGCACAGGTGTGCCTTAGGCTGGCCACAATAAAAGGCCACTCTGAAACGTGCAGTTTTGCTTTATTGGGGGGGTCTGGGGGGGTCCGAAAACATGAATAAAAAGTTATAGTGCAGTTTAAGATATGAATAGTTCACACAGAAGTTCCATTTTACTGATGCCTTTCTTTAAGGTTTCTCCGAACATGAGCTGTGTACGCTTGTATGGCACATACGTCCCGAGCAGCATACACAGAGAAAATCAGCCAGGACAAAGACCCCAGACACTGATTCCCTGGGGTTACTAGCCCCAAATGTTCATTAACCAAAACCGAAACACAACCGCTCAGTTTCAATTAAAAGCAGCCTGGATTTAAAAGTAGTAAGAGTTGCAGCGGACCTGCAGGTTTCCCGCAAAACTAGGGCCACCAGGGTGGGTGGAGGGGGTCTGGAGGTCGGGTCTTGGGCTGACAGCCCAGGAGCACAGCGGAGGACCCGGAAGGGATCTCGGGCGGATGGCCCGGGGGCAAGGCAGAAGCCGAGAAGGGGGACTCGGGCGGACGGCCCGGGGGCAAGGCAGAGTCCAAGGTGGGGAACTCGGGCAGACGGCCCGGGGGCAAGGCGGAGTCCAAGGTGGGGGTCTCGGGCGGACGGCCCGGGGGCAAGGCAGAGTCCATGGTGGGGTGAAGGCCACAGCGGGCAAACTCAGGGGCCGAGCATGAGGGTGAAGGCAGCGGCAGGAAGAGTCAGGGGGCCGGGCCCGAGGGCGAGGACCGTGGCTCTCAGGGGGCCGGGCTCGAGGGCGAAGACCGCGGCTCTCAGGGGGCCGGGCTCGAGGACGAAGACCAGACAGCTCCGGAGGCCGGGCAGGAAGGCGCTGACGGGACAGCTCCGGAGGCCGGGCAGGACCCGGTGTCGGCCGGACAGGAACCGGAGCCGGTGGGACAGGCTTCGGCAGGATCCCCCACGGAAGAGGACCAGGAGTTGGCAGGACCCCCGGCGAGACAGGTGACGGCGGGACTTCCAACGGAACAAGACATGGGATTGGCAGGACTCTCAGCGGGCCCCCCAACGGCACAGAACACAGGGTTGGCAGGACCCCCGGCAGAAGAGTAGTCGGCGGGACCCCCAACGGGACAGGACATGGAGCTAGCAGGACCCCCAGCGGAACCTCCAACGGCACAGGACACAGGGTTGGCAGGACCCCCGGCAGAAGAGTAGTCGGCGGGACCCCCAACGGGTCAGGACATGGAGCTGGCAGGACCCCCAGCGGAACCTCCAACGGCACAGGACATAGGGTTGCCAGGACCGCCGGCAGAAGAGTTTTCGGCGGGACCCCCAACAGGACAGGACATGGAGCTGGCAGGACCCCCAGCGGAACCTCCAACGGCACAGGACATAGGGTTGGCAGGACCCCCGGCAGAAGAGTAGTCGGCGAGACCCCCAATGGGACAGGACATGGAGTTGGCAGGACCCCCGGCAGGAGAGTAGTCGGCGGGACCTCCAATGGCACAGGACATAGGGTTGGCAGGACCCCCGGCAGAAGAGTAGTTGGCGGGACCCCCAACGGGACAGGACATGGAGCTGGCAGGACCCCCAGCGGAACCTCCAACGGAACAGGACATAGGGTTGGCAGGACCCCCGGCAGAAGAGTAGTCGGCGGGACCCCCAACGGGACAGGACATAGGGTTGGCAGGACCCCCGGCAGGAGAGTAGTCGGCGGGACCTCCAACGACACAGGACATAGGGTTGGCAGGAGCTCCGGCAGAAGAGTAGTCGGCGGGACCCCCGACGGGACAGGACATAGGATTGGCAGGACCCCCGGCAGGAGAGTAGTCGGCGGGACCCCCAATGGGACAGGACATGGAGTTGGCAGGACCCCCGGCAGAAGAACAGTCGGCGGGACCTCCAACGGCACAGGACACAGGGTTGGCAGGAGCCCCGGCAGGAGAGTAGTCGGCGGGATCCCCAACGGGACAGGACATAGGGTTGGCAGGACCCCCAGCAGAAGAGTAGTTGGCGGGACCTCCAACGGCACAGGACATAGGGTTGGCAGGACCCCCGGCAGAGGAGTAGTCGGCGGGGCCTCCAACAGGACAGGACATGGAGTTGGTAGGACCCCCAGCGGAACCACCAACGGACCAGGACATTGGGTAGGGACTTGAGACGTGACTCGAGAGGAGACTTGAGAGGAGACTCGAGAGGGGACTCGAGAGGAGACTCGAGAGGGGAACCAAGATGGGACTCGAGAGGGGACTGGAGAAGGGACTAGAGGAGGGACTAGAGGAGGGACTAGACAAGGGACTTGAGAAGGGAACTCGAGAGGTGACTAGAAAGGGGACTCGAGAGGTGACTTGAGAGGGAAATCGAGAGGTGACTTGAGAGGCGGCTCGAGAGGGGACTTGAGAAGAAACTGGAGAGGGGACTCGAGAGGGAACTTGAGATGGGACTAGAGGTGGGACTGGAGAAGGGACTAGAGAAGGGACTGGGGAAGTGACTAGAGGAGGGACTTGAGAAGGGACTAGAGATGGAACTCAAGAGGTGACTCGAGAGGGAACTCGAGAGGTGACTCGAAAGGAGACTTGAGTGGGAACTCGAGAGGTGACTCAAGAGAGAGCTGGAGTGGTGACTTGAGAGGGGACTCGAGAGGTGACTTGAGAGTGGACTCGAGAGGTGACTCGAAAGGAAGCTTGAGAGGGAACTCGAGAGGAGACTTGAGAGGGAACTCGAGAGATGACTTGAGAGGAAACTCGAGAGTTGACTCGAGAGGTGACTTGAGAGGGGACTCGAGAGGTGCCTCGAGAGGGGACTTGAGAGTTGACTCGAGAGGTGACTCGAGAGGGGACTCGAGAGGGAGCTGGAGATGTGGCTTGAGAGGGGACTTGAGAAGGAACTTGAGAGGAGACTTGAGACGGTCGGTTCGCCAACAGAACACGGGGGGCTGGAGTCGGCCGGAATGCCGACAGGACACGGGGAGCTGGCGTCGGCCAGAGACGAGTGGCTGGAGTCGAAACCATGGCTGCTGGGGCCAGGAATGAGGCCGGAACCATGCCGGCTGGGGCCAGGACTGAGGCCGGAACCATGGCTGCTGGGGCCAGAACTTGGGCCGGAACCATGGCTGCTGGGGCCTGAACTGGGGCTGGAGCCATGGCTGCTGGGGCCTGAACTGGGGCTGGAACCATGGCTGCTGGGGCCAGAACTGGGGCTGGAGCCATGGCTGCTGGGGCCAGAACTGGGGCCGGAACCATGGCTGCTGGGGCCAGAACTGGGGCTGGAGCCATGGCTGCTGGGGCCGGAACCATGGCTGCTGGGGCCAGAACTGGGGCTGGAACCATGGCTGCTGCGGCCTGTACTGGGGCCCAAGGCATGGCTTCTGGGGCTAGGGCTGCTAGTCTGGACCTGCGACTCCTTCTCTTAGGAGCCTTTTGGAGGCTCCATGGACCTCCAAAAGCCAGACGAGTTCCAGAGACCGGCTCCTGGACAGGAGCAGGAACTGGGGAAGAAGCAGAGGTTGACTCCAGACGGAACACACCGAGGCGTATGGTGTCAGGTTGGGAATTGGGAGGCAGGGAGCTAGCATGCCTGGGGCTAGCAGGCCGGGAATCACACACCGAGAGGAAGTCCAAAATCCAGCCAGGTAAGAATTTAACTAAACCTGGTTTCTCCATAGCCCTCTGGTGCGCCTCAGCCAGAGCAGCCTCTCGCTGCTGAACTCCGGACGCTCCCCTCCATCGATCAGAGCAGTAAGCCAGAGAAAAGGAAAAATCCAATAATTTCTGCTCAAATGGATCTGCTGGGCCCATCCTTGGTTGGTTCGTACTGTCACAGTGAGTGAAGCAAGCAGGACCCAAATGCAGATAACGCTGAAAAATGCCTTTATTTCAAGAATAAATAAAAAATAACTTGGACAAAACAGAACTCTCTCCGGTGAACTAATTCACAAACAAAAGACGAACCAACACTGACCACAGGAGGAGACAAGACTAAATACAGGGAGGGGTAATCACAAGACGAGAAACAGCCGGGCAGGGGAGGAGAAACATAAGGGCGACAGGTGAACACAATCAGACACACCAGGGAAACTAACGACAGGGGAAAAACACAGGAAGAAGGACCAGACAATATACAAGGAGGAAAATACCTATAACCAGACATACAAAACTACAAACGTGACAAATCATAAGAATCCTGACAAAGACATTGGATTAACCTTCAGCTGCGTTTATATGCGTTTTAATGCCATTGAACACAACTTTTGATCAGAAAATAGCAAAGGTAAGACGTATTTGCCGTTTTGGCTTCGTAAAGTGAAGTTGTGTGTTGTCTTTCCTGGCATTCGCTGCCGTGATTATTGTGATGGCAGTGATGATACTTATGCCATTGGAATTTGTGGAAAATCAGCTTTCTTATGATATCTACTTTGTGCAGATTGCATGAAGTATACAATATTGCTACCGTGAGTTATGTGCTAAATGGGTTAGCACTCTTTCACTTAGTGCTAATTCAGACGCTCGGCATTAGACTTGTGTTTCGTTTCAGTATAAATGGTTCATATCGT